TCACACCCAATCGGGTTTTGATAATGAGGCAGGGTCTCACTATGTAGATCAGGCTGTCCTTGAATTTACAGAGATCCCCGCTTGCTTCTGCCTCCCACATGTTGGGATTAAAGGTGTGTGGTGTGCCGCTGCCAACCAGCTACAAAAGTACCTGTCAAAGCAGGCACCGTCACCCAGATCCCAAAATGCTGCACCTACCCATGCCTGTGTCTTTGCCTTGAGACAGCTCTTCACTATACTCTTTCTCTCCCTCTTAGTACTAGGACAGCAGAGGCCCTCCTGCTGAGCCAGACTGACGACCTTCTCTGTATTTTGAGGCAGGGTCTCTTACTGTAATCTAAGCAGGCTTTGAGCTTTCAGGCCTGTGCCATCAGGTCTGGCTAGCTGTATAATTGGGTTTGTCTGTTCTTAGCACTTTATTTATGAAGGTTGTGCCGCAGAACATATGTGGAGGCCAGAAGACAATTAGTGGGAGTCTCTTCTCTCTTATTCTCTGGGTCCTAGGGGTGGAATTCAGATCCCCCAGATTGGTGGCAAGCACCCTAAAACGTTTAGTCATCTCACTGACCCTCATTTTAATATGTGACCATACCATTACTTACTGCTTTAAATCTACTGAATGGGAGAATATATCTGCTCTGAGAATGGCTAGTGATGGAAGCCCAGACCCGCAGAATGTTAAACCCGGGCTCTTGGGCGAGCCGCTTCCAACATGAAGCTGCTGCTGCAGCTCTGGCTTGAGCTGGGTTTGGCTTGTTTTGTTTTGAGGCCAAGTTTCTCTGTGTAACTCTGGCTGTCCTGGAAACTGTCTATTGTAGACCAGGCTGGCCTCAAACTCTCAGAGATCCGCCTGCCTCTCCCTCCTGAGATTAAAGGCCTGTACCACCACCGCCCAGCTGAGCTGGGTCTGGTTTTATAGCCCTTTAATTCTAGCACTGGGGAGGCTGAGGCAGGCAGGTCTCTGGGTTTGAGGCCAGCCAGGGCTGCACTGCGAGACCCTGTTGAAAGAGGTGGAGATGCTGCCTGACCAACATTCTGTGGGGGTGTCTGGAGCCAGGTGGGCCAGTCTCACTCTGACTGCCGCGCCTTTTCTGTGGCTGCAGTGGTGACCATCATCAAGGGCAAGGTGGAGGAGGTGGAGCTGCCTGTGGAGAAAGTGGACATCATCATCAGCGAGTGGATGGGCTACTGTCTCTTCTACGAGTCCATGCTCAACACCGTGCTGCATGCCCGTGACAAGTGGCTGGTGAGGCAGGGGAGTCCCCACAAGGCTGCATGTGTTCTGGGGATATAGTGGGCACCCCGGGTTAAGAAGCCATCAGCTGCTCAGGTGGAGCATAGCTTTCTGAGGGGAGGAGGGGAGGGGAGCTGGCCTCAAGAAGGCCAATGTAGAGCCCTTGTATCAGAAGTGTGTCTTTGGCAGCTGTGGGGAGGTGACAGGGCAGTGAGGGTCAGGAGGACTCTGTACAGTTGGGGGGTAGCTTTCCTTCTGGGGTGTTTGCAGGATCCTAAAGACTGTAGGACAACCTGGGACCAGATCAAAGATGAGGGTGAGCCATAAATGGATGGTGACAGCCAGGGAGCATAGTGGGAGGACAGCTGGGCCTGCTCAGGTGGCGTCGGCTCTTTCCCCAGGCACCTGATGGCCTCATCTTCCCAGACCGGGCCACCCTTTATGTGACGGCCATCGAGGACCGGCAGTACAAAGACTACAAGATCCACTGTGAGCTGAGGCTGGGGGAGTAGGGCAGGGTGGGTGGTGGATGCATGACCCGGGTTCTGCGGCTCATTTGACCCTGTCTGTACCCAGGGTGGGAGAATGTATATGGTTTCGATATGTCCTGCATCAAAGACGTGGCCATCAAGGAGCCCTTGGTGGACGTGGTGGACCCGAAGCAGCTGGTCACTAATGCCTGCCTCATAAAGGTAACTCCCAGCAGTAAGGGTTCCAAGTCCCTTACTATCTGTCAGAGGCTTAGGGAAGACAGTTTGGCCCACACCATGCCTGGTTTTATGTAGTCCAGGCTAGAAGGGCAAAGCAGGTAGAATGCACTCAGCTGGTGGGGCGCTGCCTTGCAGACCGGCTCGGCTGGTGGGGCGCTGCCTTGCTGAGCTTTTGATGGTTGTGGTTGTGTTGTATGCCTGTGATCTGAGGATCAAGAGTTGGGACTGAAAAGATGTGTGTTTTGTTTCGTCTGTGGTAAGTATGTGTGCCTGTTGTCTGCATGCTAGAAGAGGACATCAGACCTGGAACTGGAGTTAGTTAGAGACAGTTGGGAGCTGCCAAGTATTTGCTTCCAAGTCCTGGGTGAGCAGCCAGCAGTGTTCTTTCTTAACCACTGAGCCCTCTCTCTAGCACCCTAAATAATTTTTTTTTAAGAATCAGTGTGGGCTTTATTTCAGAAATAGGGTGGGGTTTGCTATAACGGGGAGGGACCTCACAGGCAGCAGTTCTTAGGTGGGGAATGGGTTCTGGAGCACTGGGTTTGCTCGTTCTGCAGGAGGTGGACATTTATACAGTCAAGGTAGAGGACCTGACCTTCACCTCCCCCTTCTGCCTACAAGTGAAGAGGAATGACTACGTGCATGCCTTGGTGGCCTACTTCAACATCGAGTTCACCCGATGCCACAAGAGGACCGGCTTTTCTACCAGTGAGGGCCATGTGGGGCTGGGCCGGGGTCTCAGAGAGCTGCTTGGGAACAGGGCGGAAAGCTGTCCGGTTTAAACCAGCCTGGGCGAGTAAGTTGGTGATAGCCTATCTCAGAAAAGACAGTTGAAGGTGCAGCCTTAGAGAGCCTGCCTAGGCTCCCCCAGCGAGGGGCTGGGCATGGCTCAATGGTAAAATGCTGTGCTGCTCTGGCCCTGGCTCCACCCTGGTCCTTGGAAGAACAAGGTGAGTGGGGCACTGAGAACCTCTTGCCCCCTGGCTCTGCCGCCAGTGATTGAGTGAGTTTGATCCTAGTGTAGCTCTGTAAACACAGGCAGAATGCAGGGACAGCAGCCTTCACAGCCTTGCTGGTAGTGATCTTGTGGGGCACAGGCTGGTCCCAGGGTTTAGCATGGGCTACACGCAGGCAGAGGCTGGTATTGACCATGCCCACTTTTCAGGTCCCGAGTCCCCATACACACACTGGAAGCAGACTGTGTTCTACATGGAGGATTACCTAACAGTGAAGACTGGCGAGGAGATCTTTGGCACCATTGGCATGAGGCCCAACGCCAAAAACAATGTGAGGCTTGGTGAAGTGGGCATGATATGTGGGCTGTGCAGAAAGGGTCTGAGCAGGGCTGAGCAGTGTCAGCTTGGGTGGCATGGGGTAGGGTACCCTAGGAAGCCCCAGCATGGTGACTGGGGTCAATGATGATCCTTGCTCAGTGCCCTTCCACAGGGATGGAGCCACTGAAGTCACCTGACTCTCCCTGTGCAGGTTAAAGTGGCAGACACCAGAGAGCATGGGATGCTGGGAATACTCCCCAGCAGCCTTGTTGCATGGGTGCAAGGGGTTTGGGGAAGCTGCAGGGGGCTAGAGCAGTAGTGGGACTCTGGTAAAGGGGTGCTTGCTGGTGGTGGGTAGTACCCCCTTGATGCGGAAACTCACCCAAACTGGCTGGGAAATGGCGGGGTGAAGATGGCCTATAGTGTGGTCACTGAGTCAGGGTGCAGGGTGTGGACTACTTCAGCCTTGGCCTGATGGCACACCTGAGCCCTGTCTTTACCTTTCCCCTTCAGCGCGACTTGGACTTTACCATCGACCTGGACTTCAAGGGCCAGCTATGTGAGCTCTCTTGCTCCACTGACTACCGGATGCGCTGAGGTGGCGCCAGGCTGGCCTCCTACCGAAGGGGGCTTAGGGACTGGGCTTGGGGGATGGGAGGGTACATCGTGACTGTGTTTTTCATAACTTATGTTTTTATATGGTTGCGTTTACGCCAATAAATCATCAGCTGACCGGTCTACTTCTTACCCTGGGGCAGGGGTGGCTGGGTAGCTTGTCACTTCCTGGGAACTTGGTTGTACCTTGGGATAGGATTCTGGGCTATACCCAGTCCCTGGATCCCCATGACCTCTTCTGCCTGTCCGGGACCCTGTAAGGACAGGCCCAGCCTTCAGCCTCCCTTCCTATAGCGGCTCCTGACATTCATCCCTTTAGCTGAGGTTGGGGGCCGCCCTCAGCAGGAGAGCTGGGACTATTGGAACCTTCCCCTGGCTTCTAGTCATGCTGGATTGTGGTTTGGAAGTTAAATCTATGCCTCTACACCAGAGCCTGGCCTCCCGCGTCCTGCCCTTCCTGTGCTGTTTCTAAGTGGGCTGGCTCACCCTTATGCTCTCCTGATCCACTGGTGTTTGTGGAAGTTGGGTCACCCTGGACTGGAAACAGGAACTGAATTTGGATCCTATGTGTTATGACCAAATGGGGTTGGGTAACTAAAGCCAAACTCACTTAGCAGGCTCTAAGGATGCCCCTGGGAGGGAGAGAACTTAGTGCCAGCTCTTAATCAGCTGTACCAGGGTCCTGGGTCCTGCTACTGAGCTCTTTCTGGGTTGGCCCTGCCTCTGGGGAATACTAGGAAAAATGAGCCTTAGAACCTCCGCAGCTCTCCACCGTTTGCAGCAAAGAGGCTTGGGCAGCGCCCTTTCATCTGGGTGACAGTGGGCTTGTCTGTCTTGGGGTAGACCCAAGGAGTCGCCGGCTCCATTGTGGACAAAGTATGAACGTGCAGAGTGGAATAAAGCCAGACTTCATTGTGCTCACCTCGTGCCTGCCATCCCTCTGATTGTGTACCTTTAATCTAGTCCCCAGTCCCAGTGGTTCTCTTCCTTGTCTTTTAGTCCCTACACCTACCTGCCTTGGATAGTTCTGGTGGGTCAAACAAAAAGCCAAGACAGGCGCCTTGGGGTGAGGGGTTTGGATGCTGCGACTCTGAGGGGGCGGGGACAGAACGCGGAGGGATTGGAAAGGAGCAGGGACGGAACGCGGAGGGATCAGAGGGGGCGGGGATAAAACCCGGGACCTGAACACCAAGTTAGGTGCACACGAGGTGGATCTGGGCTTTAAGGTGACATCCGAAAACGGGTTATCAGGTCGTGGACTCATTACACGGGGACTGGATATATATACAAGGGAGCCTCGGGGAAGGAGGTATCCATGGGATTGACCCCAGGAACCGCAGCTGCTGGCCCCTGAACAGCGTAAGTACCGGGCCGGATACGGATACAAGAGGGGCTATGGTCCTTGCATTAGGGTAGGCGAGTGGGGCTCTCCATCACTTGTACTGGACTCCCCTTTAACTCATCACCATCATCCCTCCCTGCTGAGCATGCGCAATAGGGTGCTTCCGCTCGCATCCCTCTCCAGCTCTCATAGTGTAAGAACCCCTCATGCGTCTGCCTTGCCATGGGAAAGAGCAGAGCCACCATCGGCAGATGTTCATTTCCTATGGGTCCAAAAACTAGTGTTTTATTTGAAGCCCGCAACTAATCCTGGGTCAGTTTCCCTACCCCATCCCAAATACTGAGCACTGACTTCTCAGCAAGACAGCTTGCGCTCCTGCCGCTCTACATTCAGAGGTCCCAGGGGCTGGGCCTGCCCTCAAGCCCCTCTAACTCTCCAGCTGTGAGCTGCAACACCCCTCGGGTGCTTAGGCTGACTGAGCAGGCCTGAGGTCCTGCTGTGGGGAGGGAGGGGTGGGGTCTTAGAGCGGGGGAGGGGGGGAGCCGGTCTGAAGGAGAGCTGGGGTCTAGACGCCCCCTCCCAAAGTCTGCACCCCTGGTTCTGAGGGAGGAGGCCCTGAGATCCTAGGATGACTCCACCTTCCTCCTAGGGATCCCAGGGAACATGGCTGAAGCACAACAGGCCTCTAGCTTGCTGTCGGCACTGAGCTCTGATGGGGCAGAAGTAGAGCTCACCTCCCCGGTGTGGCAGGAGATTTACCTCTCAGGCCTGCGCTCCTGGAAAAGGCATCTCTGGCGTGTCTGGGTGAGGAGGACTACTGGCTGGTTTTGTTCTGGGGATCCAGGTGCCTGCTTTTGGGGTACCGAAGCCCACTGCTGAAGATTGGGATGTCCAGTCTGGGGCTGCCCTGTCCCACCCACTGGCCTACCCTGCTCAGCGCTTGACTCGCTTCACTCACCCCTGCTACCCTCCCCACACACTTCTCCCCCAACTTCTACAACTCAAATCACCTTAGCTTGGTTTAATTTATTAATTTAGAACACAAACCAGTTTGAATGATGCCCTCAGTCCCTTAATGGTGGATTCCAGGAAGGTGCCCTACCACCGAGCCCCCACCACCGCCCCACCTACCCCACCTCGCTCTTTATAGTGATTGATTCTAGGAAGAGGCCCAAGCCCAGCCTCCTTACAAGGGGAAAGGCAAAGGTGCTACCACGGAGCCACGCCCCCACCTCCTTCCAGATATATTCAGGATATATTCAATAATGGGGATCCTGAGCTCCGACTACATCCAGGTCCCAACAAGCCACTGAGAGAGATACAGCGCATGTCCTCAGAGGGAACGTATGACTGCTGGTGTCTTTTCTCACCACAGAACGACTTTCTTACTGGTGTGCTCCCTGCAAGCCCCCTCAGTTGGCTCTTCCTCTTCAGTGCAATCCAGCTTGCTTGGTTCCTCCAGCTGGATCCTTCCCTAGGACTGACGGAGAAGATTAAAGAGTTGCTTCCAGACTGGTAAGGACCTTCCTCTTCACCCCAGTCACAGCCCTAACCCTCCACCAACAAACTCCATATGCTTTGCCTGTCAAAGAAATATAATTTCTTGGGGGTGGGAGAGCAGGAAGAGAGGAGAGAGGGGAAACTGTGGTTGGTATGTAAAATGAAATATATATATATATATATATATATATATGTATATATATATATATATATTTTCTGGGAGCCAAGATTGGTGGTGTACATCTTTAATCCCAGTGTTCAGGAGGCAGAGGCAGGCAGATCTCTATGAGTTTGAGGGCCATCAGGTCTAAAAAGTGAGTTCCAGGATAACCAGAGCTGTTATACAGAGAAACTTGTCTTGGAAAACAAAAAACCAAACAAACGAAAAAGAAATGTAATTTCTGGAGCTTTCTTTATGTCTGTTAATAGGGGTGTAGCCAAAAAGGGACTCCCTCTCTTTCACTTTATACCTTTATTTATCTATTTTGGTTTTTTGAGACAGGGTCTCTCTATGTTGAGACCTTTCTCTATATAGAGGCTCTCTGTGGATCAGGCTAGCCATAGAACTCAGAGATTCTCTTACCTTTGTCTCTCGAATACTGGGATTAAAGGCGTGCGGCACCACTGCCCAGCTGTGCTGGGACTCTATTTTTTTTTAAGATTTATTATTTATTATGTATACAACATTCTGCCTCCATGTATACCCGCACACCAGAAGAGGGCGCCAGGTCTCATTACAGATGGTTGTGAACCACCATGTGGTTGCTGGGAATTGAACTCAGGACCTCTGGAAGAGCAGGCAGTGCTCTTAACCACTGAGCCATCTCTCCAGCCCTGGGACTCTATTTTTTATTATTTATTTATTTATTTTGGTTTTTAGAGACAGGGTTTCTCTGTAGCTCTGCCTATATATATATGCATGTATGTCTGTGTACATGTTTACAGTGCCAGAGGAAGCCAGAAGAAGGTATTGGGTCCCCCACAACTAGAGTCAAATGGTTTGGAGCTGAGAATCTAACCTATGTCTTCTACAAGTGTTCTTAACCACCAAGCCATCTCTTTAGGCTGGTTTAGTTTTTTTAGTTGTTCTTGTTTTTGATGGAGCCCTAGCTGTCCTGGAACTCGCTCTGTAGACCAGGCTGGCCTCGAACTCACAGATATCCGCCTGCCTCCCCTCCCGAGACCTGAGAGTACCACCACATCAGGCTTGCTGTCTCTTATCACATCAGGGACCAGAGGAGGTGGTGCAGATTTTCTAAAGAAGGCAGAGCCCAGGTTAGACACAGAAACCCCTAGAAAGGACATATTCACAATGCAGTCCAGAGATGATGCATCCTGAGTGTTCCAGATGAGCATCCCCTCCTAACTGAAGGGAATGCCGTGGACAAGACGCACTAACATGCCCGTATCCTTTTCTGTTTGCTTGTTTGTTTTGTATTTTAAGACAGTTTCTTCGTATAGCCCTGTAGACCAGGCGGCCTCAAACTCAGATCCGCCTGCCTCTGCCTCCTGGGTGCTAGGATTAAAGGCGTGCGCCACCACCATCCAGCTTTTATTTTATTTTCTAAGATGGGGTGTCAATCATTCTGTAGCTCAGTCTGTCCTGGAACTCCCAGAAATCCTCCTGCCTCAGCCTCCTAGGTGCTAAAGTATTCCCATACCTGGCTAAAACTCATGACTTTATGTATGGATTCCTTTGTGGCAGGATCTCACATAGACGAGGTTGTCCTGGATGTCACTGTGTAGCTGAGGATATACTTTAGCTCATCTACCTGCTTCTCCAGTGCTGGGATTTTAGCTTGTGCCCCCACCCAGGGCATCTGCATGCTAAGCAAGCACTCTATTATTATGGGATATCCCTGACCCCAGGAAAGTGATTTTGAGAAGCTTGGTGCCTCTGTAAGGCTGGTCATGGGCAGCAGGGGGACACACCCCCTTTATGTGTCTGTCAAGTGTGTTGTCCCCAACCCCCATCCTGAAGCTCCAGTCGACTGCACGGCTTCAAGGGCACCCTTTATTTTGTCTCTCCTAGGGGTGGACAGCACTATCAACTCCGGGGGCTTCTGGCAGCAGCGCTGTTTGCCTCGTGTCTGTGGGGAGCCCTGATCTTCACACTTCATGTGGCTCTGAGGCTGCTTCTGTCCCACCATGGCTGGCTCCTGGAACCTCATGGCACCATGTCCTCACCCACGAAGACCTGGCTGGTATGTGAGAGGATCCACTCGTCCCTCTTGGTCTTTGTCTCCCAATTGGCTTCCCTCTCATTAGCTCCCTCTCTGCACATCAACTGTGTCCTCTTGGTCCCCATAATCTCCCTTCTCCCTCCCCTATCCATAATCTTGTCCTCCCTCATTCTTCTCCATCATCTCCATTTCCCCTCCTCCTTCATCTCCGTCGTCTCTGCTGCACCATCTCTTTCTTCCATCCTTACCCCTCCATCTCCTTCCTCCCGCTCTCCACATCATCTTCGTCTCCCCTCCCCCAGCCCGGTTCTCTCCTCTGTTTGGCAGGCACTGGTCCGAATCTTCTCCGGGAGACACCCAAGGCTGTTTAGCTTCCAACGGGCCCTTCCGCGACAGCCAGTGCCCACAGCGCAGGAGTCCGTGCGCAAGGTGGGCGTGTCCCGGGGTGGGGTGGTTCCGGGAGACCAGCAGGAGCTCTGACGGACTTTCGGCTCCACTTCTGCATGCAGTACCTGGAGTCGGTACGCCCGGTGCTTGGAGACGACGCCTTTGACCGCGCTGCTGCTCTGGCAAGCGACTTCCTGAGGCTGCAGGCGCCAAGGCTGCAGCGCTATCTGCGCCTCAAGTCCTGGTGTGCTTCCAACTACGTGAGTTCAGGGGACCCCAGTCCAGCCCTGTGGTGATTGGCCTGCCCTAGCCATGCCCCTGCCACGATTGGCCTATCCAAGCCCTGGATTTGCTGGATAATGGAACTTCAGTAAGTCCCTTGCTCAGTAGTCCCGCCCCTTGCGCAGCCCTTAAGCCCCACCTAAGCTCAGCTTCCCGCCTCTGCCCCCCAAGACAGGAGACCGGGTTTCTCTGTGTAGCCCTGGCTGTCCGGGAACTAGCTCTGTAGACCAGGCTGGCTTTTTTTTTTTTAATTTATTTATTATGTATACAATATATGCCTGCAGGCCAGAAGAGGGCACCAGACCTCATTACAGATGGTTGTGAGCCACCATGCTGGGAATTGAACTCAGGACCTTTGGAATAGCAAGCAATGCTCTTAACCATCTCTCCAGCCCCCAGGCTGGCTTTGAACTTAGAGATCCGCCTGCCTCTGCTCCCAAATGCTGAGCTTAAAGACGTGTCCCAAATACTAGAATTACTTATAGAGCTTCCGTCCCACCGCTTGTGTTAGCACCAGAATTCCCACATGACCCTGTCTAGCGCTTCCAGGACAGCTTCCTAGATGGGTGAAGAGCTAGTGTAGGAGCTCGGCCCTTGGCTGCACTTTGAGTTAAGCTGTGAAACCGAGGCAGAGAGCCTTGTCTTCTGTAGGAAAATGGAGCCAGGTGACAGGCAGAGAGGTGCGTGTGAGGAGTGGTGCGGAACGATGGGCTCTAAATACCTCAGAGGCAGGCGAAGAGCCTGCCCGGGAACTGAGCCTGTCTGGTTGGCCTTAGGGACTTAGGGGCAAGCATCAGCGAGGGCTGAAAGGGGACCTCACTTTGGTTGAATGCAAGGATGGAAGTCTAGAGTGAGGCTTGCTCAGGAAGGAGCTAGGGAGTCCTGGGAAAACTTGGAACTTGGGGACAGAAGGCTTAGAGATGAAAGGTTGAGGGGATACAGAAAGAGACAGCTAACAGACACTTTAGTTAATCTGAGCATTGGGCACATGTTTCTAATCTCAGCACTAGGGAGAAGAGGCAGAAGGATATCTGTGAGTGTGAAGAAGGGTCTGGGACAGAGACAGGGTTTCTCTGTAGCTTTGGAGCCTGCCCTGGAACTAGTTCTTGTAGACCAGGCTGGCCTTGAACTCACAGAGATCCTAGCCTCCTGAGCACTTGGATTAAAGGCATGCATCACCATGCCTGGCTAATTTTTTGTTTTTATGTGTATGAGTGTGTGCATGTTTGTATGTGTGGGTGTGTTGCATACATGCAGTACCTATGGAGGTCAGAAAATGGTGGCAGATCCCCTGGAGCTGGAGTTTTGTGCAGTTGTGAGCTACCAGGTAGGTGCGAGGAACCAAACCCAGGTCCTCTACAAGAGCAGCAAGTGCTCTTGGGTGCTGAGCCATCTCCCCAGCTTCATCTTAGTTATTGATACAGCGTCCATCTCTGAGATGTAGGGCCTGCTGATTGGGCTGGTTGTGTGGCCAGCGGCAGGCTGGGTTGTGTGGTCAGCGGCAGGCTGGGTTGTGTGGCCAGCGGCAGGCTGGGTTGTGTGGCTAGTGGCCTCAGCAAAATCTACCTCTGCAGCCCTGAGATTAAAGAGTGAAGAACTCTACCTGGCCTTTTTGTGTGCCCCGAGGCTTGAACTCAGGTACTTGCCACCGGAGTTACTGCTGCAGTTTCCTTGTTCTGTTTAATGGTTACTAACACTCCATCATTAACTCATCCTTCATCTGTTTAATGGTTACTAACACTCCATCGTTAACTCATCCTTCATCTGTTTAATGGTTACTAACACTCCATCGTTAACTAGTCCTTCATCTGTTTAATGGTTACTAACACTCCATCGTTAACTAGTCCTTCATCTGTTTAATGGTTACTAACACTCCATCGTTAACTAGTCCTTCATCTGTTTAATGGTTACTAACACTCCATCGTTAACTAGTCCTTCATCTGTTTAATGGTTACTAACACTCCATCGTTAACTAGTCCATCATCTGTTTAATGGTTACTAACACTCCATTGTTAACTAGTTCTTCATCTGTTTAATGGTTACTAACACTCCATCGTTAATGAGTCCTTCATCTGTTTAATGATTACTAACACTCCATCGTTAACTCGTCCTTCATCTAATGGTTACTAACAAACACTCCATCATTAACTAGTCCTTCATCTGTCTAATGGCTACTAACACTCCATCGTTAACTAGTCCTTCATCTGTGGACTTATAAGTTATTACTAGTTGCTCATACCCACTTGTTGCACTGAGATCCTTTCTGCCCCTGTGACACAGGGGAGTCTGTGGCCTCCCTGGTGACACCATCCACCCCCTCAAGGTCTCAGCCACCACAGCTGAGCATCTCTGATTCTCCTAGGTGAGTGACTGGTGGGAGGAGTTTGTGTACCTGCGCTCCCGAGGCTCGCTGTTGGTCAACAGCAACTACTACTTGATGGTGAGAAGGGGACCGGCTGTGGGAGGCAGGGGCCTTGTGGCCATGGTGGCCATGGTAGGAGTCCAGAACACTGGAGCCGCTAGCCCGTCTGGATGTCAGGGTCCCTATTGGACAAGCATGGTCTCAATGCATTTTGTGTCCCTTCCCTTTGCCACCAAGCAGGATTTCCTGTATGTCACGCCCACACCGCTGCAGGCTGCCCGCGCAGGCAATGCCGCCCATGCCCTGCTCCTGTACCGCCACCTTCTGAACCAGCAGGAGATCCCACCGGTAAGACAGACCTCTTGGATTGGGGCTGGAGGTGCCAGGAGCACACAGGGCCCAGCTCAGGAGCTCTTGGCCTCCCGCAGACACTGCTGATGGGAATGCGGCCCTTGTGTTCTGCCCAGTTCGAGAGGATATTCAACACCACACGGGTGCCAGGGCTGGAAAAAGGTGAGGACGCTCCCCCACCCAGTCCTTGTCCCTTCCAGCCACAATGGTTGTGCTGAGAGAAGTTAGCCAGCCTGTTTGGGTCTCTGTCCTGTTGGTGATGCTTTCTTCGTGGCCTCAGGCAAATCATTGTCCTCTCCGAACCTTACTTTCCTCAACTGTGAAATGGAATAATAATGACCTGAGGTGGTCCAAATTTAAAAATAGTTTAATGGGGCTGGAGAGATGGCTCAGAGGTTAAGAGAACTGACTGCTGTTCTAGAGGTCCTGAGTTCAATTCCCAGCAACCACATGATGGCTCACACCCATCTATAATGAGATCTGGTGCCCAGAACACTATATATGTAAAATAAATAAATTAAAAAAAAATTGCTTCCGACAATTCTTTGAAAAAAAAATAGTTTAATGTGTGACAAGCCAGAAAATTTCTCATTAGAGTTTTTTTTTTTTTTTTTTTTTTTTTTCGAGACAGTGTTTCTCCGTAGCTGTTGGTTCCTGTCCTGGAACTAGCTCTTCTAGACCAGGCTGGCCTCGAACTCACAGAGATCCGCCTGCCTCTGCCTCCTGAGTGCTGGGATTAAAGGCTTGTGCCACCACCACCTGGCTCTCATTAGAGTTTTTTTTTTTTTAAAGATTTATTTATTATGTATACAACATTCTGCCTCCATGTATGCCCGCAAGCCAGAAGAGGGCGCCAGATCTTGTTACAGATGGTTGTGAGCCACCATATGGTTGCTGGGAATTGAACTCCGGACCTTTGGAAGAGCAGCCAGTGCTCTTAACCGCTGAGCCATCTCTCCAGCCCCCTCATTAGAGTTTTTAAATTTTATTTTTTTTTCAGTTTTTAAAAATGGAAGAATTACATCATTGCCCCTTTCACTTTCCTTCCTCCAACCCTTCCCATGCCCCCTACCCATACCCTCTCAAACTCCTGACCTTTGGTTATTTTCTTTTGTTGTTGTTTGGTGTTTCAAGGGTTTCTCTGTGTAACAGTCTTGGCTGTCCTGGAACTTGTTTTGTAGACCAGGCTGGCCTCGAACTCAGAGACCTGTCTGCATCTGCCTCCTGAGTATGGCTGCAGTTGGACTTTCTTTTTTCAGATATATTTGTATGTATACTGTGTTCTGCCTGCAGGCCAGAAGAGGGCACCAGATCTCACAACAGATGGTTGTGAGCCACCATGTGGTTGCTGGGAATTGAACTCAGGACCTCTGGAAAAGCAGTCAGTGCTCTTAACCTCTGAGCCACCTCTCCAGCCCTGAACCTCGTGTTCTTTAGTTATATTTTATGTGTATGAGTGCTGTGCATGCATGTATGTCTGTGCACCATGTGTGTGCAGTTCCTGTTGAGACCAGAAGAGGGCATCAGATTGGGACTAGAGTCGCAATGTTTATGAGCAGCTCTCTGGGTGCTGGGTCCTCTGGAAACACAGAAAGTGTTCTTAACCACTGAGCTGTCTCTCCAGGCCCTGGCAGACTTCTTGCCTAGCATGCAGGAGGTCCTTGGTTCCATTCCAAACACCAGGTAAACGAGGTGTGGTGGCATACACCTGTCACCCCAGCACTGGGAAGGTGGGGGCATGAGGAGCAAGAGTTCATGGCCATCCTCTGCTACATTTCTATTAGAATCTAACCTGGGCTACACTCAGGCTGTGGAATACTACACAACTGTCAGAAATAACAAAGGGGCAGAGCACATGATTAGTCAGTGGTGTGGTTCTTATGACCTTCATATTCTGCCCATACTTCTCCAGACTACCTCCGTCACGTCCAGGACAGCCGACATGTGACTGTCCTCCACCGGGGCCGATTCTTTCGTGTCAGGACCCACTTTTCCAATGACCTGCTGTCCCCACGGGCTCTAGAGCAACAGTTCCAGCAAATCCTAGATGACCCATCCCCGGCTTGTCCCCTTGAGGAACATCTAGCAGCTCTGACTGCTGCTCCCAGGTAAGAGCCAGTGGCCTGAGTTACAGGGATGCGCTGGGCTCCGGGGAGCAGGCTGGGCAAGGGAGAGGCCAGTTGGGCTCAGGCCCATCCCACTTGGACAGGAGTATGTGGGCCCAGGCTCGAGAGTTAGTGAAGACTCATGCTGCCACTGCCCTGGAGGCCGTGGAAGGGGCCGCCTTCTTCGTGTCCCTTGATTCTGAGCCCGCGGGACTGACCAGGGAGGATCCGGCAGCTTCCTTGGATGCCTACGCCCATGCTCTGTTGGCTGGCCGAGGTGATGACCGGTAAGTCTATCCCTCTACCAACCTTGCCACACTCCAGTGGAGACAGCCAGACTCCACATCTCAGCAACTAGACCCAGGGGTCACTCATATCTGGCAAGCCCAAACTCAGTTCAGTAGAACAAGGAGACTTCTAACCCCAGAGAACCCATCTACCCAAGACCGCAGACTCTTTTGTTTGTTTGTTTGGTTGGTTTTTTGAGACAGGGTTTCTCTGTAGCTTTGGAGCCTGTCCTGGCACTAGCTCTTGTCGACCAGGATGGCCTCGAACTCACAGAGATCCGCCTGCCTCTGCCTCCTGAGTGCTGGGATTAAAGGTATGCGCCACCACCGCCCGGATTAAGACCCAGACTCTGTATCTTAATGGCTCATTTGTGTCACTGAGCCCAGCTGTGTAGTGCACCGTAGCCTGAGGACAGCATAGCACTGGTCAAGATCAATTTCTCCACTGAGTGTGGTTCCATGATGGAGGATTATTTAACCATAAAAGTGGACCCAAGATTGTGGGTCTTTTCCTAGAACTTCCAATGCCTCAAAGAGAGCCTAGGAAAACAAACAAACAAAAACTCCTAAATTTTATATCCATGTGGAGACTATCTGGAATCACCTCTATAAATGGAAGCACTTCTAGAGGCCCTCAGAGCTGCCACTCCTCTGATTTCCCTGCTCACCTCACCCTGAAGTGCACCCCACTATAAGTTCTACAGGTACCCACATTCTCCTCCCTGCCATGGCTCTTGATGACCCATCCAAACTTCTTCTGCAGCTGGTTTGACAAATCCTTCACCCTCATCGTCTTCTCCAATGGGAAGCTGGGCCTCAGCGTGGAACACTCCTGGGCTGACTGCCCTATCTCAGGACATATGTGGGAGGTGCGTTCCTAAGGCTGGGTACCGTATCCAGAGACGAACCCTGAAGAACCTTAGACTGGAGACATAGGCTCAGAGACAGGCAGAGAAAAGCCTAGCAAAGAAGTGGGTCTACCATGTTGACCTGCGTGGGTCACTGGGGCTCGGAGAAGGGAACTAAATCCAGGGTCTCACAGCAAGAAGGCACAGTGACGGTGTTAACCTAGAGCCTGTGACCCCCCCCCCCCATGCACATGCACAGACACACACACACACACAATCATGGGATGTTGTAGCACATGTCTGTAATCCAAATACTTGGAAAGTATTTTAGTCTGAGCCAGTCTGGGATACAGGGTGAGACCACGTTGCTGAATGAAGCAGAGCTGGCTTTGGGCTCAGCTGGCCCATTGCTCCTGAAGCCCTGGATTCCACGGCAGCCGAACATAAGATGGCTGTTGTGGTGTTGCCTGCCATTCCAGCACACAGGAGCTGGAGGCAGGAGGATCATCCTCAGCAACACTGTAAGTTCAAGGCCTGCCTAGGCTACATTAGACCCTGTTTCAAAATGAAGCAAAAATGGGTCCTCTGATTCCCCATCTTTATAAGACAGCTGAGAGAGATAGGAGCATGGACCCAGAAGGTGGAGCAGCAGACACTCATCAGTGCAAACTTAAAACATCCCACAATCCTGGTTACAGAGACCCTCGCTCTGCCGGGCCTCTCCCGCCAGTGGGGGATGACTGACAGTTTTATCCACAGTTTACCCTGGCCACAGATTGCTTCCAGTTGGGGTACGCAGCAGATGGCCACTGTAAGGGGCAGCCTGACCCCACTCTGCCACAGCCCCAGCGCCTGCAGTGGGACCTTCCAGAGCAGGTGAAGCTGGACTCTGATCTCCCCTCTAAGTCCCTTGCCTTTACCCTGAACTCATCCCCACCCCCACTGCCCCAACCTTCTGATCATGTCAGACATATCCACCCTCTTAAGTCCCACACTATCCACCAACACCAACCTCACCCTGAACTCTGTGCCCACCACCCACCCCATCCTTAATCCCAGCCCTATTCCTACCTCTTACTTCTATTCTCCACACCTTCTCTCCCAAGCCGGGCTGTCCAGCACCCATAGCCCCACCCGAATGTCAGTCCTGGTCCCTTCAAGCCTGTTCAAACCCATCCCGACTGCATCCGGTCCATCACTAGCGCTCTTGCCCCGTCTTAACCCTTCCTTCCTTTACTTTCCGCCCCACCCCACCTGACCACATCTCCATCTTCCCTTCCAGACCCATGCCCAGCTCTACCTCTGCCCTGAGGGTAATGCCAGTCATTTCTCCTACCTCCTTCTCTGGCAGCTCCAGCCGTCCATCTCTCTGGCCCTGAGGGGAGCTAAGATCTTATCCGGCAACATCGACTGCCACGTCTTCCCCTTTCCCCACTTCGGCAAGAACTTCATCAAAAGTTGCCATGTCTCTTCGGACAGTTTCATCCAACTGGTCCTGCAGCTGGCTTACTTCCGGGTCAGTTGGCATTCGCGGTGCCTGCTCCCTTAGGGCTCTAGCCCCTCCTAACCTCAACACCTGTCTCTCCAGCTGCCTCTCAGTGTCCTTGTGTTTTGTCATTGTGAGTCATCTGTTAATCCACCACGGGTCATTCATTCATTTCACCGTGTATTCCTTGCTGGCCTCAAACTCACAGAGATCCATCTGCCTCTACCTACCAAGTGCTAGAATTAAAGGCATGCACCACCGAGTCTGCTAGGTCAGTTATCTTGTTGTAGGTTGATCATCTCATTGTCAATCAACCCTCTTATTCTGTATCGTTCCTCCTGTGTGGGTCAGCCATATGGATCCTTCTACGTGTTTTTAAGCAGAAGGAGGTTGGTTGGAGGTCAGGACAAAAGTGGGTCAAAGCTACAAAGACAGCCTGAGGCCAACTCACAGGCTCTACTCTTTTTCCCCAGGACAGGGGTCAGTTCTGCCTGACTTATGAGTCAGCCATGACCCGACTGTTCCTGGAAGGCAGAACAGAGACGGTGAGGTGCTGTACCAGGGAGGCCTGCCACTTTGTGAGAGCGATGGAAGACAAGGAGAAGACAGTGAGTGTGACCTCGCTGAGGTCTCTGTCACCTGTGCTCACAAGGATCCGGGAGGGGCACCTGCAACAACGGACTAATCCAAAGGCCTGCATGAGGGAGGAGTGTGGGGGGCTCTGATGGGGGGACACCCAGCACTAGAGGACGACTTCGCAGAGAACCCCTCTACTCTCTTGGTCTCCTCACTTTAACCACTTTGAAGCAATGTGACCATGACCTCTACACCATGCCTTAACTTACTTATAGCCTCTAAACAACTTCTGCCCTCCCTCTGCCTGTCCCCAAAGCCTGCTCCCTTACCTGTGAGATACTGTGGCTCTCTAAAGGGTTTAAATGTCCTAAAGTCAGGCACATAGCGTTCTTCCGAGCTGTGTGATTCTGTCTTTTCATGACCTCTGTCTGCCTGAGGGACCCAGGACCAGCAGCGCCTTGCCCTGTTCCGAGTAGCCGTGGACAAGCACCGGGCTCTACTGAAGGCAGCAATGAGCGGGCAGGGGACTGACCGCCACCTCTTCGCGCTTTACATCATGTCCCGATTCCTCCATATGCCGTCACCCTTCCTGACCCAGGTGGGTGCTGGAGAAGGGAAGAAGTGAGCAAGGAGGGAGACGCTGAAAGAACGAGCGGGACATTTGTAGAGACAGCCAAGCGAGAGACGGGCTGGGCAGAGTGAGGTTCAGCAGTAGAACAGCGGTCCAGAATCCCCCTGTGAAGGGCAGGGGTGTGCCTCAGTGGTGGAACCCTGCCTAGGATCCCCCAGTGTTGGGGTGTGGCTCAGTGGTAGAGCCCCTGCCTAGAATCTCCTAGTGAGGGGCTGGAGTGTGGCTCAGTGGTAGATCCCCTGCCTAGCTAGCTAATCCCCAGCACCGTCAGAGAAGGAATGCAGTGGAAAAGGGGCAAACAGAAGGGCGAGGTGGGGTCAGGGAGATGGATGTGGTTAGGGACGAAGGGGGCCTTGTCAGAGGACAGTCACAGACTTTGGAGGGATTGACATAGGAGGAAGTCTGGCTTGTGGTGGAGCAAAGAGGATCTTTTCTGCTCATGTGAGCGCCTGTTTCCCAGGTCCAATCACAGCAGTGGCCGCTGTCCACCAGCCAGATCCCTGTGCAGCAAGCGCACATGTTTGACGTCCACAATTACCCTGATTATGTCTCCTCTGGAGGTGGATTTGGGCCTGTGAGTGAGCTGTGGTCCAGCCGGGTCGGAGGGGTGGGCATTGGTGCCCTGTGGGTGTGGACGAGGGGCTGGGCTACTGGCTTGCTTCCCTCTCTCCACTCCAGGCCAGCGACCATGGGTATGGCATCGCCTATATCTTCACGGGAGAAAACATGATCACCTTCCATATCTCCAGCAAGAAGTCGAGCACAGAAACAGTGAGATGAACTGAGTGCCTTCCGTACCCTCCTAAATCTGGGATGGAGTCACTCAGACTCCAGGGTCCCTGGCCTAGCCTCCTCCATCAGTGCAGGGGTGTAGGCCCCAGCCTCCTCCCTCGGACCTCCCAGCCTCCTCCTTCGGACCTCCCAGTCCTCCTCCCTCAGACCTCCCAGTCCTCCCTCGGACCTCCCAGGCCTCCTCCCTCGGACCTCCCAGCCTCCTCCCTCGGACCTCCCAGGCCTCCTCCCTCGGACCTCCCAGTCCTCCTCCCTCAGACCTCCCAGCCTCCTCCCTCGGACCTCCCAGGCCTCCCTAGCTCCTTGTTTGCTTCTCTGCAGGACTCGCAGCGGCTGGGGCAGCACATCGAGGATGCCCTGCTGGATGTAGCCACCCTGTTCCAGGCCGGGCAGCATCTCAAGAGCCGGTTCATGGCACTTGGGGGGAACTCGGGATACAGACATGGCTTTCTCTCCAGTAAGCCTGTGGACCCCAAGGTCCCCACAACCTCCACCAACTTTTGAGCTCCTCAGCAGGGAGCTGGTCTCCCTTAGGAAGGAGTGTGCTGTTCCCAGGGCTCGACTGGCACAGACAGGGGTATGGGGACCCCCACAGCCACCTGGTAATAAAGATACGTAAGTTGGGTGTGGCCTCCACTGTGCTCCTGTGCAGGGTGTGCACCCTTCCGACCCCAGATTACCTCCCCATTGTCCCCACTGTCACCGTAGCCCACACTACTACCCAGGCAGGTTCCACTCTAAGAAGCTCCCTGGCCAGACCAACCCAATCAGCTCTTCACACTCTGAACCTACTCCTGCCCTCCAGGACAAAAACTCTGTTAGGCCATCTCCAGACTGAGGTCTGAGCCACATTTCTTTCCTGTGGGAGGAAGGATGGAGATGGCATCAGAGTCCAGGCAGGCTGCTCTGGAGCTTCGGGGTAACAGAGGGTGATCACGAACTCTTTTTTTTTTTTTAAATATTTTTTATTGTTTATTGGTGTGAAGGTGTCAGATCCCCTGCAACTGGATCTTCAGACAGTTGTGAGCTGCTATGTGGGTGCTGGGAATTGAACCCGTGTCCTCTGGAAGAGCAGTCAGTACTCTTAACCACTGAGCCATCTCTCCAGCCCCACGAACTCTTGATCTTCCTGTGTCTGCCTCCCAGAGGCGGGGTGGCAGGTGTGTGTGTCACTGTGTCCCCCTATTGAAAATCAAGTCAGAGGTGGGCTAGCCTGACATAGCAAGGCCCAGTCTCATACGGGGGAGGATGTCACACCTTTAGTCCCAGTGCTCGGGTAGCAGAGGCAAGGGGATCTCTGTGAGTCTGAGGTGAGTTCCAGCACAGCCAGGGCTTTTACACAGAGAAACCCTGTCTCAAAACAAAGCAAAACAAAGCATTAACAGGGCTTTACTTTTTTTTTAAGATTTATTTTATTTATTATGAATATAGTGTTCTGTCTGCATGTGTCACTGCAGGCCAGAAGAGGGCGCCAGATCTCATTACAGATGGTCGTGAGCCACCATGTGGTTGCTGGGAATTGAACTCAGGACCTCTGGAAGAGCAGCCAGTGCTCTTAACCTCTGAGCCATCTCTCCAGCCCCAGGACTTTACTCTTAACCAAATGCCTCCGGGATTTGGTGGGTCATCATTTTATTAACCTCATTTGCAAAATGTATTGAAGGGATGGGCTGTCCTGGGACTTGAGAGACTGAGGGCGACAGTGCAGGGCCCTCTGCCAGGGTGATTGCCTCTGTCTCCTCCCTTCCCTTCCTCCTCTTCTCTCCTCTTTCTCTCTCTCTCTCTCTCTCTCTCTCTCTCTCCCTCTCTCTCGTTCTTGTTTTTTGAGACAGGGTTTCTCTGTGTAGCCTTGGCTGTGCTGGGATTAAAGGCATGTGCCACCACCTCTCTCTTTTTAAAATTTTTAAAAGTTTTATCTGTATCATCAGTGTGTGTGTTGTGTGCACTGTGTACAGGAAGTGCCAGCAGAGGGTGCCGGGTTCCCTGGAACTGGAGTTACAGATGGTTGTGAGCCACCAGGTGGGAGCTTGGACTTGAACTCTGGTTCTTTGCAAGAGCAGTAACTGCTCTTAGGCACTGAGCCTCCTCTCCAGCCCTGCTCTGTTCTCAGGTAACAGGCTGTCTTGGCATTTCCTGTGTAAACTAGTCTAGGGTTGACAGGTGGGCACCTGAACCTGGTTGGTCCGGATGACCCCAGAACTTCAAGCCAGCTCAGCAAGTGCTCTATGTTTCCAGCTGTATCCCTTCCGTTTTGTTTTTGAGAAAAGATGTCACTGTGTAACTAGGCTGTCCCAGATCCCATGGCGGTTCTGACTCAGCAGTCACATCTGACAACTACTTTTCAGTGCCAACTCAAGAGTCAGGATTCATGCCAGCGTGAGAAGCCATTTATTGTTCAGAGGCTGGGCTCCCACGTTTAGGGGGAGCCCCTCCAGTGCTTCCTCCCCCCACTGCCCCCGTGGACCCCTCAAGTGGCAGGTGGTTGAGCTGGTCGTGGAGAGAGCACATCTTCAAATGCATATAGTCCAAAGTGGCCACCTTCTCCCTGCAGTGACAGTCAGCGGGGTCAGCCCTGGGAAGGCCCAGTGGGGGCCAGGGCAGGTGGCCTCACCCTCCTCCCATGCCCTCCGCCTCAGTCCTCACTCCGGCTTCATCTTGTCCGTCAGCAGTAGGTTCTTGGCCCGAACGGCTTCGTCTTGGGCCAGCCGAAGGGTGAAGCTCAGGGCCTCTGCCCTGACTTGTTTGGCCAAGGCCTGGTGCTCCAGCTCCTGGGGAGAGGAGTGTAGGCGCGGCTGGGCTTGCTGGACTGGGCTGGGGGTGGAGGGGGAGCTGGGTCGCGGAGGGTAAGGGGTAGAGTCCCATGGAGCCCACACACCACCCAAAGTAACCCATAAGGCCTTGAGCTTGGGGATAACCCTGGTATCCCATAATTCGCCTGTCTCCCCAGCTGCATCTCACAGGAAGCCCGTGAGTGTCCTGGATGTTCTCGATGCACTGGCCTGTGTCTCAGCAAGCTGAGTCACCACTCAAGTACTGTGCCCCTAATGCCTAGGAACTGCCCCATACTGTGTGTATCCCGGATGGCATGGTGCCCTTCCACATCCCATAATTCTTAAGTTCCTCTGTCACAAGAATGGTCCCTAGCATTACAGTGCTCCATATCCCACAGTTCACCACGCCCTGTGAGTGTCTGGATTAGGGCTGCAGCTCTCCTTACAATTTGTATCCCGTCATCCCCTAGGCCGGCATCCCATCGTGCACTGACCTCTGTATCTACGATGCGCCAGGCCATGACCTCATGCATCCCTACAACTACTCTCTCTAATGTATATCCCACAGGCCAATACGCGCTCGCTCTCTATGTCCCACAATGCACCAGACCTCAAGCTCTAACAGCTAGAAAGCTGTGACTTGTGGAAGTGGGTCCCTCTGTGTCCAGGGACCTCCCCGAAGGGCCACAGAAAATCAGGCCCATGATTCAGAGCTACAGAGAGGAATCTGCTCCCCGTGCACTCCCAGCCCAGTGCATTAGTATGCTTCGGGCAGAACCTGTCACCGTAGGCGGCAGAATGACTGAGCATCTGTTCCTGCCGGAGGCCAGCAGGGCTCCTGAGCAGGGCTGCCCACACCCTGCTAAACACAAAAGTAACTTGTGTCATGGCAACCCATGGTTTCTGGTACCAGAATCTTCTTGTGTAGCCTCTGGCAGCTGGGGCAGGCAGGAGCCAGGCCTTTTTGCTTCACCTCATCCACAAGCGGGGCCAGCGCACGTTCCAGAAGCTGCCGCAGGGACTCTGTGGACAACTGCTGCCCCTGGCTGTGAAGGGGGAGTCAGTGATGGGTGATGCCCTGGTTACGCTGCATCAGCTCTTTCCTTTTGCTTTTGTGTTTGTTGAGACAACGTCTTTTTTACATAGCTCTGGCTATCCTGGAACTCACTATAGAGACCCATCTAGCCTCGAACTCACAGATCTGCCTACCTCTACCTCCCGAGTGCTGGGATTAAAGACATGTGCCACCACTGCTTGGCTGGTGGTTCTCGCCTTTAAGCTCAGTACTTGGGAGACAGAGGCAGGCGGATCTCTGCTTGAGGCCAGCCTGGTCACCAGAGAAACCCCCTGTCTCAAAAAAACAACAAAAAGTCATAAACCACCAAGTCTGGCCTTGTTTCTTTAGGCACCTTGCGTAACCTGCCAGACGTCGGCAGTGCACAGTTACACGTGACTGGAAACCCACTTCCTGCTCTCCACAGCACATGGAGGTCTCACTTAGTGTGTGCATGAATGGGGTCAAAAGTCAATGAGTGTCTTCCTCAATCGATCTCCACCTTTATTTTATTATTTTAATCTATGCATGTGTAGGTATGCGTATGTGCCGGGAGAGGCCAGTGGAACCGGATTCCTTCAGATAGAGTTACAGGTGATTTTGAGTGTCCTTCTGTGGGTCCTCTGAAAGAGCAATGTGGGCTCTTAATCTTCTAAGTCATCTCTCCAGTCCCTTACTTTGTGTGCCTGCATGCCCCATGTGTACAGACAGGGGCCAGAAGAGGGTGCTGCATTTCCTGGAACTGGAGATGCTGGGAGCCACCATGTGGGAACTGGGAATGTCACCTGGGTCCTCTGGAAGAGCAGTCAGTGCTCTTAACCCCTGGGGCCATCTCTCCAGCCCCTCCAGAGAATGTGGGCATGCGGGTGTGGAGGGCAGAGGACAGCCAGCGTGGGTGGGTGGGTGGGCACGCGGGTGTGGAGGACGGAGGACAGCCAGCGTAGGTAGGTGGGCACGCGGGTGTGGAGGACGGAGGACAGCCAGCGTGGGTGGGTGGGCACGCGGGTGTGGAGGACGGAGGACAGCCAGCGTGGGTAGGTGGGCACGCGGGTGTGGAGGGCGGATGACAGCCAGTGTGGGTGGGTGGGCATGCGGGTGTGGAGGACGGAGGACAGCCAGCGTGAGTGGGTGGGTGGGCATGCGGGTATGGAGAGGACAGCCAGCGTGGGTGGGTGGGTGGGCATGCGGGTGTGGAGGGCAGAGGACAGCCAGTGTGGGTGGGTGGGTGGGTGGGCATGCGGGTGTGGAGGACGGAGGACAGCCATCGTGGGTGGGTGGGCACGCGGGTGTGGAGGGCAGAAGACAGCGTGGGTGGGCATGCGGGTGTGGAGGATGGAGGACAGCCAGCGTGGGTGGGTGGGTGGGCACGCGGGTGTGGAGGACGGATGACAGCCAGCGTGGGTGGGTGGGCACGCGGGTGTGGAGGGCAGAGGACAGCCAGCGTGGGTGGGTGGGCATGTGGGTGTGGAGGGCAGAGGACAGCCAGCGTGGGTGGGTGGGTGGACACGCGGGTGTGGAGGGCAGAGGAGAGCCAGCGTGGGTGGGCGGGTGGGCGGGCACGCGGGTGTGGAGGGCAGAGGACAGCCAGCGTGGGTGGGTGGGTGGGCATGCGGGTGTGGAGGGCAGAGGACAGCCAGCGTGGGTGGGTGGGTGGGCACGCGGGTGTGGAGGGCAGAGGACAGCCAGCGTGGGTGGGTGGGCACGCGGGTGTGGAGGGCAGAGGACAGTCTGCGTGGGTGGGTGGGCACGCGGGTGTGGAGGGCAGAGGACAGTCAGCGTGGGTGGGTGGGCACGTGGGTG